GCTAGCAATTTTGGGCCCTATGAAAGAATATGAGGTTGGGCCCCCGCACCAAACATACACTATATTGCCCAAAGTATTGGGAAAACGCAATAAAACTATAAAAAACTCATCGCCAAACACCAATGACTTTCAGTAACATAATTCATTCAGAACCTGTTCTATGGACATAGACTTTTTGTAGCACACTATTCTGCTGATATGGAATAAGTTTGACTACTTAATCAGTTATATTTATAGAAATGCTTCACTGGGGCAAACACAAAAATCCTAAAATAATAAATAGGATACCCCATAACACCAGCATTTCCAGCAGTATCAAACATTTCTCAATCATGATCTTACTTAGCTAAATGTGACTATTAGCTTAACAGCTATATTCCTTGTTTGCTAGCTACCTATGCCCATACAGCATACAATGTTAAAAACGTTCTACATTATGAACCTTAACCCAAAAACCTTTAGCTTCATACACTGTAGATAATTGTGACCCTGCCTGTGGAAACCCAGCTAAAGTATTTTTTAAACAGCGGATGAGTAATTCACTCCTTGATTTGCTTAATAAAAGCCTCCTTTGAGATCGTTTTGACGGACATGTCTATTGTGTATTATTTTCAACGTGTTTATTGCTAAGTTTAGTGTTGCAAAATAGAAGCGCAGCCGTAATTCGCGTGCAGTGTATCTGGTTGCCATGGCAACCTCATGCTTGTGCTGCTGCTCTATGTAATAAGATTGTTAATTTGTAGATTTTCTATAGCAAAACTAAAATGTGTTTAAAAGTGCGACTGACCAAATTGTCCGGCTCGGTTTGCCCCCCTCGAACTCGAAGACATCTCTAATTTGACAGTTTACCATCTGATCTCACTCAGTGACTCTAAGCTACGTAGGACAGGACGAAACCATGCAGTGAATGGGGGGAGATAATTTGGCTGGAAATGCAGAAATAAGCCGTAATTTTGTTTTATTTGTAACTCTTTGGTAGATACATTTATAATTTCTATTATATTACTACTACTACTGTTACTAGTAATAAAACAGATCTCTGGGGGCCCCAAAAGTGCGTGGGCCCTTAGAATCATCCTAACTTTCCCCCCCTTAGCGGCGCCCCTGCATCCAGGTAAGAACACATTAAGAATCAAGCATATATAAACTTTTGAAGGGGGTCATTTTTATAAATGTAACTATTATTTTTAACTTGTGGACTATACATGTAAGCGTCTTTTATGTGAAATATCTTGTTCAGGACAATACTAAATAAAAAATAACATGCATTTTGTATGGTCCCTCTTATTTTGGTAAAATAATTAACATTTTGCAGATATATATATATATACACAGAGAATAATGAATGTTTAACTCTTTCACATGTAACGTGAGCAATGAGAGGACAAAAGTTAGACTAGTTGCTGCCGCTGTGTTGAATCGTTTGAATCGTTTGCGTGTGATAAGCAGATGTTTGTTCTCGGTTTTAAAGGTCAGGTTTATGACTAGCTTGCTTGACTTTTGCTGTAAGTCAACTTTAATTGTTCTTTTAACAAACACAGTAGTTTTCCCACATGGTTATGCATCTCCTAAAACTTATGACACTTCCAATTACGTTTATGGGGACCATAAAAAGAGCTCATAAAATAGTTATAGACAGCAGACTTTTTGCAGTGATGCTGAATCCTGCTCGTGGAGATCTATCCTCCTGTAGGGTTCAGTTCAAACCTTGCTCTAACACACACAGCAAACTCGGCAGGGTTAATTCAATTCGAACATAGAGCTCTATCAGAGATGAAGGATCCCTGCCAATTGTAATTGCTTTACGCAAATTTTTAAAGTGTAAACAAGGGAAGAAAATTTGGATTGAGCTCTGAAACCAGGCTGTTGTAAATCTTTTTTTATGATCTCTTTATTGTCTTAACATCAAGAGGCTAGCCAAATCAAAAATCATACTTATTAAATAACCAGGAAAACCTGTGCATTGGTATTGTTTGACTGATTCTAAATGATTTAAAATGCTTCTGATCTAAATTGATCTATATGATTCTGACTGATCTAAGATGCACATTTCAAATGACCATACTGTCACTGAGGCAAAATCCTAAAAGCTAAAAGGTACATCTTTGTACCGGATGAATCCCTAATTGCTAAATATTAGTACATATTAGCACCTAAAGTGTACACATTAGTAACTTTTAAAAGGGTACTGCCCCAGTGACAGTTTTGTACATTTCTACAAAAACCATTTCGAGTTTGGGAGCTTGACTTGAATCTTTATTATTACATCTCGATTCACTAGTTTGTTCTCCCTTTCATTTCAGTGCAGATTTTAATTTGTCCCACAAACTTCAACAAAGTTTAGACATGACCAGCAAAATGTAACAGATACGAGAGAGAATAGCTTGTGCATCAGACTTCTCATCATTTGCTTTACCGTTTAATCCATTTAATTAGTAACCTCAATACTGTGTTATAAAATGATGTTACTAATGGCAACCATAAAGCCAGCATTGTAAAGGTGAGATGCCTTAACATGTGCGTAAGTCCCTGAGATGAATAATGTGGGAAGTACGAATTGTACCCAACATTAAATTGAAAGCCATTATCAGCTATTATCTTAAATAAACATGTTTTACAACGAATTTGTTACTTTCAAGGCCTAGTAGTTGTTGACTTAAGTCAATGTTGGAGATACTCCCACATCTGAGAGCGTCTAAGCTAATGATGCACGAAGGACAACGACTTTGTGAGTGACTATTTAACCAGGCGCTTCAGACCACATTCAAAATTAAAGTAATCTACGATCAGTTTTTTCTCAACATGATTTCCAGATCTTTTGACTAATTAATTTTTAAGGCTTTTCTAATCATTTTATAGATTGCACTCATTAAGCGCAAATTCTAGGCAATTAAATATTCCATGTCAAACAAGATTTGAGATTAGCCAGAACACAAGACATGATGCATATCCAACTAAAATTAATTTAAAAAAAAACTAAAATTAAAAAATTCCTTCATTTGCCTATTCCTTGTCTTAAAATGCCTTGTTTGTTGAATGATGGACTTGATTCCAGTTTCTTGTTCATCTTAACAATGTGTGGAGGACAAAGAAAACACTGGCAAAAAAAGTGCTTTTTCAGTATAAAATGAGCATAGATCACAAAAAGTCACACAGAGAAACACACAAGGTAGGCAAGATGAAACACTTGACAGCACACGTAAACCCATGGGTAATAAACACGGTGCTGAAAACGATTACTTGTAAGAAAATGCATTGCAAGGCTGGTCACGCGTGACACTTCCAAATCAAGCGTGCAACGCATGCAAACACACCTTATTAGATCAGTAAGCACACATTTTAATTCATTAACAGACATGAGGTTTTAATATAGCTTATCAAAAATGTTCCATATTAATTATCTATAGTGTAAGTACATTTATATATTTAATTAAAAAAACCTATATATTTAATTAAAAAAGAAAACCCCAAAAGTGCATGTTATTACAATACATCTTATCCTGTACTGCAAATCCTTGGCAAGCCTCTGTAGTTTAATTTCCTTTGAAAAATGAAAGATTTCAGAGGAAAAACATACAACTTATTACTTTATTCCATCCCCACATCTCTATACATACCAAAAAGAGCTGAAGAATCATAAAACAAAAAGAAACGTGGTAAAATATGAGCGCTCAATATGAAAGTCATGGCAGAAAAATACTAAATAAAAAGGGACAGGCCTCCTCATGGTTTTCTGTGATTATATGATTATAAGAGATCATTAAGTCTCTCTTCTGGAGAGGAACAGAATCAAAGTATGCTCTTCAGGAACTCCATATTAGGACTTTGCACCTTTGTTCACAGCCAAACCAATAAGACCAGCCAATCCCGCCACACCTAAACCGATACCGCCGACGATCGCCATGCCAACTAAACCATCTGAAAAAGAATACAAAAAAAAAAATGTCTCAGCTGAGATTAATTCACTATTACCTTTGTCTTTGAATTTATTTACATGCACATCAAATTCCGTATATATTTATGTTAAGGTCTATATTTATGTTTATATTAGGGCTGTCAGTTTAACGCGTTAACTTAATTAATAAGCTATGAAAAAATAACGCGATTAAAATATTTTAGTGCAGTTAATGCACTGGCCTACCCCCAGACCCGTACCTCAACTTACATTTCATACAATTGACTGTTGACAAACATGATGCAGGGCAACAACTCCATAAATGCAGTTATGGCCTAAAATTAAAGATATTGGGGCAAAAAATGCCCCTGTATGAGTTTTTGTCTCATATTTATATCAGCAAGAGCAATATCACATGAGTGATTTTGTCCTGAATATCACAAGTTTAAATGTGATTTTATACAATAGTTCAGTAAATAAGAAGTTGATATTGTGTTATATATTAAACTAAAATTCAAGATATTGGGGCAAAAATTGCCCCTTTATGAGTTTTTGTCTCAAATTTATATCAGCGCGAGTAATATCACATGAGTGATTTTGTCCTGAATTTCACAAGTTTAAATGTGATTTTATACAACAGTTATAAATAAGAAGTTGATACTGTGGTTTTAAACAGAATATTATGTGTTTTTGTTCAATTTTGCAGAGAATATATTACCTTTAAAGCCACAGCAGAACTGTTGCGTCTCCGAGCAAAACAGCAGTGTTTAGTTTCTGAATGAATCCGCGTTTTGAACGAATGGTGTGAATCAATGATTCAAAGGCCCATTCATAAAGAGAGTCGTTTACTGAATTCCTGAATGAATCAGCCGTTGAACGAATCAAATGAAGACATTTACCGCCACCTGCTGGCAGATTTATTTTCTTATTTAGAGTATTATTTCATTTAAAATAATAATAATAATAACATTAAAGAGATAGTTCACCAAAAAAATGTAAATTCTGTCATCATTTACTCAAACCTGAATGACTTTCATTGTATGAACAAAAATACTGAGATGTTTCTCAAATTATCTTCTTTTATGTTCCATAGTTTATGTTTTGTAGCCTAAATGTTTATGTGTAATAAATTTTATGTTGAAAAAAACTCTTGAAAATACTCAATTTGTAATGTCTACTTGATACTTTCTCATTTAACACAAAAATAGCTTTAAATAATCTTTTGTGGGTATTTTCACAGTCAAATTTATTTTGCGATTAATTAATCGAAACATCATGTAATTAATTATTTATTATATAATAATTAATATAATTATTAATTATCAAGGAATTTTAGAATGTTGAAACGCTCATTCCACAAACTGTGCGCAATCCTTGAGAATGTGATGAAAACAGTTGCAATGCATGTTGCCATCAAACTGAGAAGTTTTGCGGAGCATGCACATATATTTCCTTTCAGTGGAATTTCTGAATAAGGTACATGCAACAAATTTCTGATTAAAACACGTATATTCCAGGGATGGGAATCAGAATTTGGGGAATCCCATAATTGTCTTAAACGGAAAAACAGCAATAGGATTGTGGCATTTACATGACTGAATACCAATTGCTAAATTCTGATTAACACTGGAATATTAATATGCATGTAAAAGCAGTCACCACCTCTTTGTAAATGGATCTTGAAAAATTCATCTTTATGACAAATGGAGCGGAGAATTCTAATATGCTGATTTGGTGCTCAAGAAACATTTCTTATTATTATTTATGTTGTAAAATGTTGTTCTGCTTTAATATTTTTGTGGTAACTGTATTACATTTATATAACAGCATACATTTAAAAATAGATATCTTTTTAGCAGTTAAAGTCTTTATTGTCACTTTTGAACAATTTGATGACCCACACCCTAGCTGAATAAAATAATTAATTTCTTTAAAACCAAAATAGCACTGACCCCAAACTTTTGAATGGAAGTGTATGTCACAAAATCCTAATTAAAATAGCCACTGTTCAAAAAATGTTTTGTTTTGGTTTGGTTGAAATGCCATTATATCTCACCTTTTCTTAGTGCCCTGTTGATGAGTTTCTCCAGCTCCAGGGCCTGTTTATTATCTGGTTCATTCTTCAGCAGAGTACGAATGTACTTCAGTGCTCTCTCATACTCCTGATAGAAGAACAAAAAATTGATGTAGGGTGGTAAAGAGAGCAAAGCAACGAGAGAGATTAAATGGAAACTAATTAAAAATTATCCAAGTATTTCCAAGCCCAGTTCATACTGTATTTTTGATCAAATAAATGCAGCATTGGTGAGCATAAGAGAATTCTTTTAAAAACATTTACTGACCCAAAACTTTTCAAAGGTAGTCTATTTCAAATATGCCTTTCCCTTGATTTTGGGGTAAAATATGACTTGGACATGTACTTGACAGATTTTGTGAGATTCACCGCTGTACATTTACTTCATCTGGTATTCGTATTGAACCGAATTACACTAGTTTATATGGTGACATGACAATAAAGTTACATAATTGATCTGATTTGATTTTTAAATTATGCAGTAAACTCCAATGTACCAGGGCCACCAGGAGCAGAGTTGAGAAACACAGTTTTAACTAGACGCCAGAGATGTCTTCATACAAAGATACGTGATATAAAGAATGCTTATTAGCAGTGACAAAATCATCACATATCAAAAAAAGGAAAATGCTAACCCACCTTAAGTCTGTAGTTTGCAACAGCAAGGTAGAACAGAAAATCTCTCTGATCATCTTTTTTGCTCGTAGAAACCAGTTCTGAGAAAAGAAAACTGAATGACTTTTTAAAGAATTTAAAATCAAGAATAGGTACAATTACTGCTGGAGCTCAAGCAGGCCGTAACTAACCAAAAACACTGACCTTCCAGTAGCTGAATGCCTTTTACAATGTCATTTGTGTACTTGCTTCTGATCAAACACCAGGCATACTCAAATGTGGTTTCCCTGGAAACGGGTCCTTTCACCAGCTCAGCGTTGTACTTCTTCTCAAACCTCTAAAAGACAAAAAGTCATGGATGAGATTCAAATGCACTCAGTAGATGGGTGATGTCAGGAGCATGTGCTCTCCCTGGCCGACAGTCATAGACTATACCTTTTACAGCAGGAATTTGCAAAGCAGAAAAACGTCTGATTCCATTAAAATAGTAGGTGAGATGATAGGGTAACAATAATACATTGATAAATGTATTGTGCATTTTTATCCCCCCCCCCAAAAAAAAGCGTGGGCGTATAATAGTAGGTCTACTCTTATATAAGTCTATGCGTGGCAACATGTCATGTTCGGTGTTGTTGTTTTGGTGATGTACAGTAGAACTGCGTCCGTCAAAACTCCCGATTAAAACCCGATTTCGGTCATTTCACCATATACAACCTTGTCATCAAGACGACATCGATGTCATTTTGTATTCACAGCCATGAAAATAAAAGGATAAAATGTTTTACCTTTAGATCTTCTGGTGCCACTAGTTCTGACACAACCGCCTCCATGTTCGCACCAGCGCGTAACGTACACGGAAATCATGGTCAAAGTAAAAGTCCGACGTTCTTAATAAACATTCCTTACAACGAATACTGTGGTGGTACCATGTTACAATTACTTTATGGTTATATCATCCATGATATGAATGCAAGGGCTTAGTTTTGGGTTGAACATGTTTGTAAAATGGTATTTTGTGCTATCATCCACACATGCAAAGTTGGTTGATAACATAGCTGTAATAAAGTAATAGCCTAGATAACAATTATTGTTTACATAGGCTATATAATGTACTGTATACAACAGTATTTTTTTATTATTATTATTATTTTTTTTTTATTATGCAATAGAAGAACAGCAAATACAATTACAAAGACAAGAACAAAAGACAATAAGGGTTACAAACAATACTCCAAAGCATACTATGTTAGCTTATAAGACTTACACCATGAAAGAGTCTTACATGCAATAGAATTATTAGAGTTTCTTAAAGAGTTTACATACACATCAAAATCTTTCCTGAAAATAAAAAAGTAGGGAGTTTTCTTTGAAAATGTACACTTATGAATGTAAAATTTAGCAAGATATAGGAATAGATTAATAATAACTTTACAGTGAGAAGGGTCTAAATTCAAAGAAAGATAACCCATCTGCCTTAGAAAGCAACACTCTACCTGTTATTGAGAGATCACGCTGTAACCAAGAGTTTAGAACAACAGTATATAAGTGTTGTGACAAGTCCCGGTTATGAAGTAGGCCTACACGTAGCAAGGTTTTATTTATTTATTTTTAATAATAGCTCAAAATAATAAAAAGTAGATAGAATATATAGAGCTAGTGTTAGAGCGTCAAGTTATTTTTTCCACAATAATTAAAAAGAAAACAAGTAGATAGAAAGTAGATAGTGTTAGAGGGTTAAGTTTTTTTAATAAAAAGAAAATAAGATATAATAGAGTTCTAGTGTTAGAGGGTCAAGTGTAGATAGAAGATATGTGTCTTTAGCCATTTCTTGGTTATAAAATTATCAAATACTTTTAAAATAAACTTGATTGATTAAGGGATGATGCAATATATAAATACATGCATACATGCTTTTAGTTCAAATTATTTTTATTGGCATAGTCGGGAAAGATTATAGATGAGACAAAACAGAACACAACCTCTGTTCTGTGTGATAGGATTTCTGGATGAACCGTGAGTAATACAGCATTTCTGTGGACAATAATTATTATTCAGAAATAATTTGACTACTGAATTTACCTATAATAAGTACATTTATCAATGTAGTAGGCTACTCTTAACATAAACGCCACATTTTTTTGCTTAACTCATAATTTATAAAAAATACTTACTGTATGATATCATGCCTGGATATAACAAATGGACTGTTCCACTTCCAGTGTAAAAAAAAAAAAACTTTTTCATGTTAAAATTATACAGCAATATTTGCCTGAAATTGATTTTTAGGGGCATCTGAGAGCATTATGAACATACGGTTTTTTCTAACCATACAGAAACATGCCATGACATCCATTTAGGTCAAATAATTCAAACATACTAAGGAAGATGAATATAATGTAAAATATCGAAGGTCAGAGTAGGCCTACAGATTAAAAATTAGGGAATTTACTTTTGTTAGTTATAGATGATTACATATGAATACCACATTAAAATGGATACCTTCATCGTTTATTCGTTTCTTTATCATAGGCTATAGACTACTTTTTTATTGTTTTCTTGAAAAATACATGTCTACATCATTCAAACGTTTATTGTGTGAAAATTATTTATGGTTTTTACACAAAGTCCGACTGCCCCAAACTTGTGATTTCCATCACAATTAATAATATTGCACTAAAAGATTTTGTAGAGCTTGATATGAAATCTGATAGCCTACATCTATGTGAAGAAATTGTTAGAAAAGGTGTAAAAAGTGTGAAAACCTTATTTAATTGTTCGTATTTCGGGTACATAAAATTCTTGCTATGAAATCAGTCTTAGCCAGACAAAAGGGGTCAGCAATTTTATTCTAAATGTTCTTTTTTTTCTCCATCACAGAACAATATTAAAAGCAATATACAATTTAAAATGGGATGGACATGTTCATGACATTTCGTAAACAACAACAACAACAGAAGTGTCCACTGTTGATCATTGTTAATTAAACCAATGTGAGTGTGAAGAGAGTTTTGTCTGAAGTTAAAGAATCAACTGCTAATAAAAATATGTTATTACTACCACTACGCAGTAGCCTATTTACGCAGTATTAGTAAGTATGTGCATTTACTTAATTGTGTTTGTTTACTTGTTTAATTATTGTTCGGTCCACACATCTTAGTAATGTAATTACTGTGGCTTTTATTTTGGACAAAAACATTTCCAGTAGTCTTTTCAAATCTTTCAATAGGGGTCACTATCTTGACGCGACACTCTGGTCACGTGGTATGACCGAGTAGGACGGCCATCTTCCCTAAAACACAAACAACAAGAGCGTACTAGACATCAACACGCAACGACCATTGGAGAGGGAGAGAGAGCAAAAAACTGTAAAAACGGAACACGATTTTCGAGGAGGAGCACAGAACACAAACTGCACATGCATCCAAAGTGAAGATCGTAGAGTTTGACGGGGCGACTGGACAGTAAAATCGCAACAGCTCCAGAAATACGGTCAGCAACTGTGTGCCTCTCTCTCCTTGAATGTCTGAAGCGTTAATGGCAGATGGGTGTTGCATTAAGTTTTATGCAAACTTGAAAGGGGAAGGGCAGGGGAACAGCAAATGCATATTAGTGCATAAGGAGCATGAAGTGGCCAGCGCTTGGGTGTGTGGGAATAAATGGTGCTGTTTTAAGCTGTGAGGCTTTTTTGTGTTTGGTAAGGCAGCTGTGGCCGTGGGTTGAAGGCCACGGGAAGCAGCGGAGTGGAGTTTGGAGGGGCGCCGCGTGCACATGGAGGGAGGGGGGGTGGGGGGGGGTACAGTACACGCACACTCCCCCTAATTTGTGAACGCGACGCCCCTCAAAACTCCTCCAGTCAGTTGTGAAACGACACCAGGTTGTTTAAGTGGTCATTTTCATTTCACGCGAGAAATACTAAACACCGACATCTTGCATGTGTTACAAAATAGCCTTTTTTCTGGACGTACGTTTGCGTTGAGCGCGAGGACACATCGTATATTTATGGCCTAATGGCGAGTAGTTAGTTAGTAGTTATGTCAGAGATTATCCTACTATGTCCCATTCGTGAGCGAGTCGTTTTGAATTGGATCTTTTCAGTGATTCGATTGAACCGATTTACAAATTGGATTGGCTCACGAACCGGACCGAATCAGTCTGAAAGGTTGTCGAGTCATCAGCTCGCTGACTCATTCAATCGAAAGAAATGGAGGTTGTTGAGGAAAACATTCCAGGATTTTTCTCCATTTAATGGACTTCAATGAGGACCAACGGGATGAAGGTCCAAATTGCAGTTTCAATGCAGCTTCAAAGGGCTCTGCAGGATCCTAGCCGAGGAATAAGGGTCTTATCTAGCGAAACAATCAGTCTTTTTTTAATTTTTTTTTTTATAAATAAATAAAAATGTATATACTTTTTAACCACAAATGCTTGTCTTGCACTACTAGCTCTGCGATGCCTAATCACGTTGGAAAGGTCACATTTTTTCCTAGCTGAAGACATTTTTTAGGTTTCAAAAGATTTAAACATCCAGGATATGCACATGTACTGACCATTTTAAACAATAAACATAAACAAAGACATACATTTGTGTCAGTCAACATACAACAACTTTTGAACGGCCCTCCTTCTCCACACTTGTAAACACTGGGTCGGTACTTCCGCCTATGTCACGCGTCACCTCTCCAACATGACTACTTAATGCAAGATGCTAGTGCAAGATAAGCATTTGTGCTTAAAAAGTATATACATTTTTATTTTCTTTAGGAAAATGACCGATCGTTTCGGTAGATAAGACCCTTATTCCTCAGCTGGGAATGTGTAGAGCCCTTTGACGCTGCATTGAAACTGCAATTTGACCTTCAACCTGTTAGTCCCCATTGAAGTCCACTATATGGAGAAAAATCCTGGAATGTTTTCCTCAAAATACTTAATTTCTTTTCGACTGAAGAAAGAAAGTCATGAACATCTAGGATGACATAGGGGTGAATAAATCATCAGGAAAGTTTTAATTCTGGAGTGAACTAATCCTTTAATAGCTGAATAGCATAATTGTTACAAATAAAACATACTGGAAATATATTTATGAGCATTTCAAATCAAGATATGTCAGTTAATGTAGTATTAATGTACATGCCAATTGTATTTAAGTTGTTATAGACTTCAAGACTGCAACAAACTAAACAACGGCACGTGAAATGAAAGTAAACACCCTTATTAGTTGATCTTACATGTTAATATCATTATTAATAACATAAGCATGCATTTGTGATTGCGTGGTTTTATTAGTGTGTTCAGTGCATGAAACAATGTCAGGGACCACCTGATAACATAAAAAAGTAAAATCACTGTTTTTTTTTTTTTTAAACCAATTCTTTGAATCGAACCGTCTTGTCTCTTCGGACTTGAGCAGTTTGCCGTTATTTAGCAGCTGTTCACATGATGGCCATTGCAAATGCTTAAGTCCCATGATGAATTATGAGCGCTCTCAGGCATACTGATGTATTTCTAAGTGCGGTTGAAGTTACAGGTGTCTTTCTTGACATGACATAGATTCTCATATAGTACTTTATGTTAAGGAGCCCAACTCCCCAGTCAATACTGTTTATTCTCAACAGTTTGTTCTGTTGCTTAGATATTTCTGTTGCTATGACATCTGTGGGTGCTGTTGATTAAACCCCTGGGATGTTTCTTTTCCATCTCCATGTTGTCCTGATTCGGCAATAACTATTCTAGTTGTGCAGTGTCAATAATCTAGAAAGATTTTAGAAGTCTACCTGCAAAGTACGTTACGCACACTTGCCCTTTTCAAAATATAGTGTTCTGGTAAACTTTGCCACAGATGAACATATTTTACTATATGTTTCCTAAGGCATGGTTTGTTTGTGGTCCTGTTTCTTAAAGAAAATATCTTTCAGAATATTTTAAAATGGAGAGAGATTATTTTCATGTACCCTTGGTCTTTAAATTGATATGATACTATTACAGGAGCATGTTGGGCAGTAGGTTAACTAAAGCTAGAACTAAAACTATTCAGACATTTTTGTTAATTGAAACAAAGCTAAAATAAATAAAATATAAATATTAGATGGAAAAACTTATTTTATTTAGTTGCCAAGGCAGCATTTCTAATTTTCATTTAAAGTTGAAGCACTAAAATTACTGACTGGAAATAAAATAAATACAAATCTAAAACTGAAAAATAATAATAAAAAAATAAACTAAATGGTAATTTTTAAACAAAAAAAGTAAATATGACAAAAGCACATAACAAAATGACTAAAAATATAAATTAAATTATAATGAAAACTGGAAATATAAAAATAAAAGCTAATTCAGAATATGAAAGGGGTCCTATTATGCTCTTTTACAAAGTGCTACAAATGGACTCTTATTTTAAAGTGTTACCATTTCGTTTCAACTGTCATGCTTAAAGATGCACATCTTTAAATATATACACAAAGGCTATAGCCTTAAAATGATATACATATGGATATTGTATGTATACTCTCACGCTTTAACTGCTTCTATTCTTGAACACTTGATGATTATCTAATCAAAATAAAAGTGCAGCGCTGAGTCTAGGAGAACTCACTGGTATCACACACACTCCGGACGCGTCGCGTTCAACTCGAGCAGCGGTCTAAAACAGATTATTTAATCACCAAATGGACACAAGTTTACTTCAAGAATGAACGAACAATGAGGCATAGACGAGTTTGAAGTTCGGTGTTTAAAAAATGGAGCAAACGGAGAACTGCTCGAATAGTTCCTGTATCAAATGAAGGCCCACCTTCTGAAATACGAAATGTGCTGTGATTGGTTAGCTGGGCCAGTGTATGTTGTGATTAGCACCACTCGGCACCTAGTCGGGAAATGACACTGCCTTCTCTAGTGCAGCTCAAGCAGGTCTCTTCCCATTCGTCGATATTTGTGATATCACAAATCCCGGAAATTATGCGTTGTAGTCCAAACGAGTCGTTCGTTGTAGTTTTTGAAAAGTGATTTCTGTTAAATAAAATATCTCCTTTTGAATTGGACTTTGAGCTTTGTAACTTTGCAGATCTTTTTATGCTCAAACAGCAACATTACAGTCTAACTAAAGTTGAAAAAGTGAAAAAGCATAATGGGACCCCTTTAATAAAAACTATAATGGGGTATATAATACTGAAGTAACACTAGTGCACTGCCCCCTTTTCTCTGTTTTAATGGCTTCAGTTTCATTTAGTCCACAGTATTTTTATAGTTTTATGTGGTCATTTCTTATTTTCTCCTGCAGATAAAGGAGAGAGAGGGATTGTCGGCGTGAGGACGGGGACACCAGCTGGGACCTGGTCCACACAGCATTGCTAGTACAACAGAAAGAGTTCGAAAATCACACACAAATAGAGAAAGAGAGAAGTTATTGGGGTCATAACTGCTTCTGGCAGCTGTATTATCAACAAGTTAGTCTCTTTTTTTGGTCTGTTCGTCTATTTTGTTTGTTTCTTGTAGTCGATCGACTTTAGACATCAGTATCAAAGCTCTGCAGTTTTTGCAATCCAACAGGTATTACTCATTTTAGGCGGGCTTGATTTATTTTTGTTTGTTTTTATTTGTTTGTTTTCATCGGCTGTGAACAAGAGAGCTCTTACCGTGTCTGACCTTTTGTATTTCTGCGCTCCTGCACACACACCCTGAATAAGGCAGCTATAACCCTACTCTCTCTTAAGTTGGCTACTTTGAAGCATACACACACACACACACACACACACCTTTCAGCCCTCTCACCCAGACCTGGTCCAGCCTAGTCTTGCCTGCGCCACTCCCCTGGACAGGGTAAGAATAACATATGAATGGCTGTGTTTGCGTATATTAATATGTCTGTCAATCGTGTGTGCATTACACTGCAGTGTAATAAAAGAATCTGTGTGTACTAGTGAACAGAAGTAAGCATATTTCAGAGCGTTGCATACTCATATTCAGGTATTTTTGTTTGTAGACTTTCACCTCTGAGAAGGAAGGAAGAATATGACTGCTGAAACACTTAACTTTGGCCCAGAATGGTAAAATCCTTTTTTTTCTGTTTCTGTGTCTCCTTCACTTGTTGCCAGATCTCCCTTTCTGTTCTTTCTTCTGATTTTCTTGTACATTTCTTTTTCACTGCTGTCTTTTGAGTGATTTTCTTTAGTCCATTTTTTATCACTGTTGGAGAAATGAAATGCAAGCACTAATGTTATTATCTCACTACCTTTTCTGGTAATAAGCTACTTTAGGCTTAGTGACAAAAGGCTATGTTGTTATTTTGTGCCATGTTGTATTGCATGTGCAGCTCTGAGGCGATAATCAAGCACTCTCATATGGCGCTTTTCCACTGCATGGTACGGCTCGGTACGGTTCACTTTTGGGGGGTTTTCCACTGGGTACAGTACCTGGTACTTTTTTTTAGTACCACCTCGGTTGGGGTTCCAAGTGAACCGTACCGTTACCAAAATGTGACGTGTAAACTCTGCTGATCACGGATTGGTTTTTTTTTTTTTTTTTTTTAAAGAAATACTTTTATTCAGCAAGGATGCATTAAATTGATCAGAAGCGGAAGTTTTAACATTTATAATGTAAAAAAAGTTTTGTATTTCAAATAAATGCTGTTCTTTAACCTTTTCAAAGAATTTTGAAAAAAAAAAAAAGTATGACAGTTTCCTCAAACATTAAAAAAAAATTCTTACCGAACCCAAACCTTTTAACGGTAGTCTATGCTGTACCAGAAAACCTGAACTAGTTATGTTTTTTTGAAGATTTGGTTAATCACTGCTGTTCATCACTGTTTTCCACACTGTTTAATGTTATTTTTGTTGTATTTTAATTTATGTAAATGAATGCTGCATGTACAGTGCATCTTGTGTTCAGTGAAAGCAAGAACATCTGGCCATTGTACATCCTTATATTTCTTACAAAATCCTAAAATCTTGTATTAAGGTTTAAATTAGATATTGAATCCCAGTTTTTCAATGTGGACTTTTGCATGGCACTGAAAATATACATCGAGAAAGATGCACATTCAATACAATGTGACAAAAAAAAAATTCAGAATAGCCTTTTGTCACATATTCCAAAGCAGTTTGAATGTATATCATTTATTGTTATATTTTTGAAAATATATTTCCTTCCTAAATCACTTCAATGCAATGAGCTTCAAAACTGTATCTTACCATGCTATGAGCTACTCAGTTTAAAGTATTTTCCTCAGCACTGCTCTTTACTTTCCCCATGTTTTTGCAAGGTTTTCTCTCTTGTCATTCCCTTCTTTCCAACCCCCTTCTCTCCCTGTATCTCCTCTTGGCACATACTAAATGATTATGCAGAATTTAAACCGTTAGGCATGGTCCTGTGCTGAACTGAGGCTCTTCTGTGCATAGTTGATCCTCGGCCAACAAAAGTGAATTCCTGGCTTTGACATGTACAATGCAGGGGTGGTATGCTTCCTCAAAGCCTTCTTCATCAGCTTATCTCAGCGGGGTTGTATTTATGTAAAGTTTACAAAGCCACCCACAGCTCTGAAACCCCTTTCCACCAACAAGGTGCCTCAGCCTGTGCCGTTTCACATGTTTCCACTGCTGAAAAGTGGTTTCAGTCAGGAAAAACAACTTTGCACTGGCCCTTAAAAGCTGCTGGACTCGAATCAGGAACTGCTAACATCAAATGCTGGGGGCGAGATCCAAGTAATGTTGTCAGAACAACAAAAACTCTGGCGATTCTGACACACAACAAAACCAGATTGCTTCCATTTTAATCAGCAGAGCTATTTACACTGTAAGCACAGTTCTTATATACAGTATCTGACACAGCAACTCCAGCTCCTTGATTTTCCTGTTTGTCTAAAATTAAATATTATGTAAGTATTACACTGCTGTTCAAAACTTTGGGGTCGGTAAGATTTGTTTTTGAATGAATTGTTCTATTTAAAAAACATTTAAAGATCTGTTTTCTATTTGAATGTATTTTAAAATGTAATTTATTCCTGTGATGGCATTACATTATATGCTGATGTGCTGCTGTTCTTCATTTTTTTTGAAAACAGGTGTGCTGCTACATATTTAAGTTCAAAAGTTATCTGAAATAGTTTGTAACATTCTAAAGGTCTTTGCTGTTACTTTTGATCAATTTAATGCATCTTTTTTTATTTTACTGTCCCAATTTTTTCGAAAGGTAGTGTAGTTGTGAATTGTTTGATATGGATATATTGGGCATAACTTCTAGTTTTTTTATGGGTGTTTCCCCTGCCCAAGCCTCAGTACAAGCTTCAGCATCATTTCCTTGAAAAAGGGGAGTGAGAGATCCTAAATAAAGCAGGATGTAGTGTAGACATTGACAGGGCCATCTTTGGATGGTAGACAGGATTGGAGCATTTCTCAATGAAGCTTCCACATTGTTGCTGCTGAATCTCTTTTGATCAGATTTTTATCTCTCCCTCAGGCTCCGTGCACTTTCCAGTGGAGGCAGTGTGTCTTCCCCTCCTGCCTCTCCTGCTATGCCAAAGTACAAGTTGGCCGAATACCGTTATGGCCGGGAGGAGATGCTAGCACTTTATGTCCAGGACCACAAGGTGGGAAAATGCCTAAAACAATCCTGGGTTGTGTTGGCCTATTTTTAAGTCTAGGTGATATCCCAGCATTCAGTTTGCAATGATTGTACCTACATCTTTACCTCTTGACATTAGAGGGATTGTTTATTGTTTAGACACGCACAAAACGTTTTTTTTTTTTTAGCCAGGTGATCTGCCAGTAATTGGGCATTTTCAGAATATTGGCATCAGTTGTTCATGTCTGCTTGGGCGATTTCGATCTGCTGACAGCTGTGTTAGATAATAATTAAATAATTCCTATAAATCAAGTTTTTATTAGAAGAATTTCTCTTCATCTCAATTGCTGGTGGTAAATTATGTTATACATTGGCTGTCGGTTGCCCTTAGATATTGGTATCTACATCAGCCATTGGGAAAACCTCTATTGGTCAGTCAGTTTTTTTTAAAAAGCCTATATAACCCTTATGTTGCTCAAAACAAGTTTTTGTTCTGTGGAACGCCATACTGATTTATCATTTGTCTTTGTGCATTTTTCCAAACAGTGGAAATGGTAACGATACAAGTATAGAAGTAAAGTTGTTTCTGTCTTTAATGACTTAAAGATTTTAAGGTCTGTTTTTGATACAAAGCTTCAAATGTAACTCACAAAAATTGATGGCCTACTTTTATGATAACTTGGTGTTTTGTTGCTTTTTTTGGCACTCTACAGACCCTAATCTCTGTTCACATCCATTAAATGGAAAAGGGCAGCCTGGACATTTAGCTAAAAAATGAAAAACATTTTTTTTTGTTAATTCCAAAGAACATGAGTATTTTGAGTGACATTAGGTTTTGAGTTGATCTCTTTAATTTTGTAAATTTAATTTGCTTTATATGTTATTAGATACTCAGACAGTTCATCTTTCTGTGATGTTAGTAGAATACAAACATTGTGTTTGTAAATGTCACTCTATAAGTGTTTTATGTGCACAGTGATTGCTGAGGGACCTTTTGCAGGTCCCTAAATGTACGTCTTTTGTGGCGTTCACATGGCCTGAGATTTAACACACAATGTGTGTCTAGTACATGTTTCCACTGGTCGACTTTAAAATGCAAAAAATTTCTTACCAGTACTGACACAAGTCATAAAGGTTTCCATGGGCAACAGCTGCGCCAGAGCTCTGTTGCAGCAAAAGTAGACTGTAGAAACTTTGCCTTAAGATAATGATTTACCATGTTTTTTTATTGCAGAAGAAATATTCAGTATGCACTAATCAAGCATGGATATTTGTTGTAATTACACTTTTAGTGTGTTTGAAAAGTGTTTTCAGGAAATCCAAGCACTCAGAGTCCCCGCATAGGACTGATATTGTGGAAAAATACAAATCTAAAACCGCTTTGAAAAGGGAACCTGAAATGTTTAGATTTTTCTCTATTTTGGCAAGTTGATTTGATTATGTCTAAAGGTTGGCCAGTTAGCGTCTGTTGTAGGAAGCCACATCAGCATTGCGCAAACTTAACCCTTGAATAGTCACAGTTCCTTATAGGGCAGAAACAACAACAAACCCAAAGGGCGATATCCACTTCAAAGTGAGCATTATGTACGCTACTGTTAAAAAGTTTGGGGGCAGTATGTTTTTTGGTTACAAAAAATATTTGAAATAAATGCTGTCCGTTTGAACTTTCTATTCATCAAAGAATCCTTTAAAAATATATAACTGTTTTCACAAAAATATTAAGCCGCACAGCTGTTGGTAATAATAAAAATGTTTCTTGAGCAGCATATTAGAGTGATTTCTGAAGGATCATGTCACTGGAGACTGGAGTAATGGCTGCTGAAAATTCAGCTTTACCATCATAAGATTGAATAAATTAAATTTTAAAATGTGTTCAAATAGAAAACAGTTCTTTTATATTGTAATATTTCCTTTGAAACGAAAGGAAGGGACATTGGTGAAGGGATTCAGTTGCTCAATTTGTGTAGCAATCTCTTTGATGCTGTGCCCTTATAAGGGTGCAAAAATGCCTTTTGAATTTACCCAAAATGTGCTGTACAAAATATTTGAGAAGAATGTTGATGGGTTAAACCTGACTCAGATCAGCACAGTCCAGACTTTTTGTATATTTAAAATGTTTCTCTTTCCGGATGTACATTTCCTGATATTTTGAGTCCCTCATTTGCCACAGTAGAGTGAGTCATAGTCTTGTGTGTGTTTTCAGGTCCCTGAAGAAATGCAGGATAAGGAGTTTGCTGCTATTCTGCAGGATGAGCCTCAACAGCCACTGGCACTGTTGCCTCTCACTGAAGAGGAGCAGGTGAGAGGCGCACATTTACACGTCTGGCATTTTGAGCTTGTGGCTGATTAGACATGCATCACACACTATCCTGTGAAAGTAAACTGAGGTGGGGCGAGCACATTTTTCACTCTCTTATACAAAAGACTCCTTCGGCACTTCAATGATTTTATCGGATTTAGATTTTGCGGTTTTTGGTGTAGTCGTGGTTTCATTCCTCATGTGTTTTCTCTCTTTGCAGAGGAACTTCTCCATGTCTGTCAACAGTGTGGCTGTGCTGAGGCTTATGGGTAAGGGGGGTGGGGCCGTCCCGGCTGGAGTGAACCGAGGTAGAGGCAGCGTGAGAGGCGGTCGAGGCAAGTTGGTCTATTTGTGTACATGCGTGTAAATTATTAATGTAATGGCGGAGATGCTGAAGTTTATGTCACGCTGTGTGTTTAGGTCGAGGAAGAGGAGGAGAGATCGGATTCTACCAAAGAAGCAGTGAGGAAGGAGAGGGCGGTTTTGGTCGTGGTGTTCGAGAGATCCATCGCAGTCAGAGCTGGGATGACAGGTATTATAAATTGTTTTATTTTATTTTACTTTAGTGTAAATTGTGTATTTACGTTCCCTCTAGTTGTTTATTTTAAGTAATTTTAAAAAAGCAATTGTTTTAATTTTATTTTTTGTGGTATGATATTATCCTATTATGATTGCCGCAATAAATATAAAAATCCTCTCATCAGCATACAATCTAGATTTAGATAGCTGTTGAGGCAAATCAAAAGCATCTTAATAAGCCTCTGTCTCTTTTCATTCTGTAGAAGTGAGAGACGTTTTGAGAAACCTCCGCGGAGAGAAGGTGTGCGCCTTGGTTTCGAGGAGGGGGGTCCGGGTGGCAGAAAGGAGTTAATGCGCTCTGATAGTGACAACTGGCGCATGCTGAGAGAGGAACAGGAGGAGGAGGAGGACACAGGAGAGACTGGTAGCAGCTGGAGACTCACCGGTTCACGAAGAGATGGTAGCACAGTACACGCTTACACTTGGCATTTAAAAGGAATAGTTCAGCCAAATATGAAAATTTTTATTTAATTTCATTTTATTACACCACTAGTTAGTATTAAATGTAAACAAAAGTCTGTTTTGGCTGAACACTTTTTAGTGGATTACTTGAGGTGTACCATGAGTAAATGGAGCTTGAGGTTTGTTTAATTACACTAAAAGTGTGTGTATATATATTCTATTCTATTTTAATTCTACTTTATCTATATCTTCTTTATATATATATATATATAATTTTTTTTTTTATTCATCAAGAATGCAATAAATTCATCAAGTGACAGAAAAGACATTTATAATGATAGAAAAGAGTTTTATTTTGATTAAATGCTGTTCTTTTGAACTTGGGTTCAAAAACTTTGAATGGTAGGGTATAAACTTGTGTTGCTTCTTCCTAGATGGTGGTCCTCGCCCAGCTGGTTGGCGGGAACACTCTGGTCCAGGTGAAGTTCGCCGCAGGAAGTTTGACTTCGACTTCCGGGATGGAGGGAATGAGGGAGGCAGAAGGAGAGCAGGCAGCGAAGGAGCAGAGGATGAGAGAGATGGTCTGCCAGAGTGGTGCACAGATGAGGAAGATGGAGAAATGGGAACCTTTGATTCTTCTGGAGCGTTTATGTCTATTAAGGTGAGACCATAAGATCTAGTCTCTTAATGACTTCTTATCTATGGTTTTCTTTTCTTTACATTTTTTCCCCTCTTCTATTATCTTAGAAGGGCCCGACAGACCCCATTCCAGAAGAGGAGTTTGAGTTCCAGAGTTTGGAGGATGAGGAAGAGGACGGTGCTTATCAAGAGAAGAAAAACGGCTCTGGTGCTGAAAAAAGTGAGAAAGGTGGGAACAAAACTTGAAAAAAATAGATTCTTAAATCACAGTTCTTGCGAAAATGTATATGATTGCTTAATGTGAGGAACAGGCTGAATACTTTTTTTGTACACAAATACATTTTAAACATTGCTGTGAAGTTGTCTTGAGTTTTTCAGAAATCGTGCATTTAATTGAAATATGATTTTAAATAAATGTATTTTTAAGGATATCTGTGTTCCATTGATTTCATCACTCTCTCTCTTCTCTTTCTACAGATGTCACTGACTCTGCTGCAGTGTCTGAAACTGAAGTGAAACCGGTTTCTCCTCCCCCTTCTCCTCCGCTCCCTCCAACTCTTCCTACTCCTGTCGCTGAGGCTGTGCCCTCTGCTGCCCCCTCTGGCCTGGAGGAGTCTCAGCCTGCTCCCTCCATTCCCAACAAACTACCAAGTGAAGGTAAAAAGAAAAAATTGCATTATTTTTTTTTCCTATAGCTGTATAGATGGATGATGCTTCAATTGTGTATTGTCTTTTTTTTTGTAGTGTTATCAGAGGCCATGTTAGATTTGAGCCCCAGTGCCTCCTCCAGTCTGCCTTCATCGCCTCCCTCTTTGTCCTCTGCTGCTACTGACCTCCCACCACCGGGGGGTGATATTGAGGATGATGAGGGCATGAAGCACCTGCAACAGGTACCACAAAAAACGAGTTCTGAGAGTAACAGATAATATAATATTTCACTGAATATCACCTGTATATTAATATTAACATTGATTGAATTGATTATATTATTAAATGCTCAGTATTCACCGACTTGTTGAGGTTATTGTTAAAAGGGTCATATGACATATGACATTATTTTGTGTATTTGGTGTAATGCAATGTGTTTATGCGGTTTAAGGTTCAAAAAACACATTCTTTTCCACATACTGTACATTATTGTTGCTCCTCTATGCCCCGCCTATGCTTCTGAAACGCGTCGATTTTTACAAAGCTCATCGGTCTGAAAAGCGAGGTGTGCTCTGATTGGCCAGCTATCCAGTGTGTTGTGATTGGCCGAACACCTCAAGCGTGTGATGGAAATGTTACGCCCCTTGCCATACTGTGATACCTTGTCCCGGCCGGAGAGACCGGACAAAAACATTAAAACCCCATTATAAACGAGGCATTTGTTGCATCCAGTGGGGACATAATTACTGATTATAATGACTTGTACTGTATTTTTACGCTTTGCGTTGCATATCGCGCCGTGTAAACATAAAACCATACTGTGATCGGAGAAACGACAAACAACAAGCGCTACTCTACACTGCTCAAAACTCTCGTTTGAATCGTCAGTGGCAAATTCTTTTAATATGAAAACGTACTTGCAGGCTGTTAGTCAGAAGCACCAGACTGTCCTTGCAAAGTTTGAACTGCCCCACTTTATAGAAACAGCCTTTGTGTGTAGACGGCATTGTAGGCTACTTTCCCAGGTTCAGGAAACAGTCCTCCGTAAAATGCACTGCACACATCTGAATATTTGGGTTGAACTGTTCTGGAACAGTGTTGTAAATACAACTTAACCACTGATTTCTAGTTGTGTCCTCTTTTGGAAGGCCAAACAAAGTAGTTTCGCTTTCACAACGAAACACGTTATGGGCGTGGACGAGTCTTAACTTTTATAAAGAATATCTCTTTGGGTTTGAGACTTTAGTCTTTGCAACTTTAGGGATCTTATCTATTCACAAACAGCTTGTAACACTCCAAAGAGAAAGGAAAACTTGAAATCGCATCATGTGACCCCTTTAACCATTTCACATTTGTGAGGGTTAGCCAATCACAGCAAGGTTATTTACATACAGAGGTCTTAAATGTACAATAGTAAAAACCATCTGCTTAATTCTTAGAGAGAGGGTAGGAAAATGATCCTGTAAAATTAAACTATTTATATTTTTTATTATAATTTATTTATAGTCAATTATTTTTTTTACTAAAAACCTGGGTTAACATAAACACTAGGCAAAATGATGACTAAATTGACTAAATTATAGTTTATAATTTATTATGATTTATTTATAATATTTTTTTGTGCTAGAAACCTGGACTAACATTATAAATAGACTAAATTATGACTAAATCTAAACTGACTACTTTTATATGTCGTATTATAATAATTTATTCATAATGTTTTTGTTTCAGAAACAAAATTCTCAAGACTAAATTAAAACAAAATTGACAATTATTATTTATACTTTTTTATTATAATTATTTATAATGCATATTTTTGTGCTAGAAACGTAGATTAACATTATAAATGTTACAGTTATAGTTAATAAAATAAATGCTATAAAAAGTGTAGAATGTTTCCTCTTTGGATAAATTACATTGTTTATAGCGCACTTTAATTATTTTAGCGGAAAAGAGTTTTTGATGGTGATTTATGTGTGTAGGAGGCAGAGAAGATGGTGGCAGCGCTCCAGGACACATCTCTAGAGGAAGAGTGTTTCACCCAGACTCTTCAGGATAGCAGAAACACAGCCTCTGCTCTTCCTCTCTCTCATGACTCTGCCATGAAATGGTTTTACAAAGACCCGCAAGGAGAGATTCAGGGTACGCATGCATTCTCTCATAGGAGGTCAACTCATGCATATAGAGCAGTGTTTTGAGTATAGTCCATTAATACCGTCTCTTTTTCTTGTCTTTTGTCTGTTCTGTCTCTCTCAGGTCCTTTCAATACAGTGGAGATGTGTGAATGGTTTCAGGCGGGGTATTTCGCGATGAACCTGCTTGTTAAACGTGGTTGTGATGAGGGATTTCAGCCACTGGGGGAAGTCATTAAGATGTGGGGGCGTGTGCCTTTCGCCCCTGGCCCCTCCCCTCCGCCCCTCCTGGTGAGGAATCAAGCCCACCTTCGCCCTCACCCACCCCAGGGGGCAATCGTGAGTCTCAGGGTGGAAGAGTGAATGTTTGGGCATTATTTTCCATGGGGTTATTTGCATTCTGGGGAGTTTTTCTTGTCCATTACTTTTTATTTTAATTCAAATGGGAATAAGCTTGTTTGTAAATTTGTGTCTGTGTATCTATGCGTGTTTGTCTAAATTTGCATATGCGTTCACTTGGAATGCGTGCAGGGTGGCTTAAAGTATTATAGTATTCAAATCTCACTTTTCAAAATGTAAAACTATAAACATTTTGTAATTAGCAAAACAAAAAATTCTTTAGTGTTTGTGTAGGTCCTAAATTTGTTTACTGAAATGCTTTTATTATACTTTTACTAAAATAAAAGCTATGGTTTAACGTTTGAAATCAAAGAAATTAGGACAGCCATGTTACCATTTATCTGTTAAAATAAAATGACAACCCAATTCCAGAAAAGTTGGGACGTTTTGTAAAATGCAATAAAATCAAGAATTTTAATTTAATTGACAAAAGCACAAAGAAAAAAATTCCAAAGTTTTCACTGACTAACTTGAATGTATTTTGTAAATATAAACAAATTTTTACTTTGATGGCTGCAACACACTCCAAAAAAGTTGGGACAGAGGCAAAATAAAAGTCAAAAGGTTATAGAATATCCAAATTAAACTCTTTTGAAACCGTTTACAATAAGTAGGTGAATTGGTAATAGGTGAGGGTGTCATGTTTGGGTATAAAAGGAGCATCTCAGTCTTTGCATGCAAAGCTGGATCATGGCACATCACTTTGTGCCAAATTTCATGAGAAGTGTCAAACAAATCAAAAATTGCATTTCTCAATGCAAAATCCCAAAGAATTTAGGTCTTTCACCAACTACCATACGTAATATTGTGAAAAGATTCAGGGAATCCAGAGAAATCTCAGTCTGTGTAGGGCAAGGCAGGAAACCTCAGTTGAATGTGCATGACCTTTGAGCCCTCAGATGGCATGCCCGTCATGCTGCAGTGTTAAATATAGCCACATGGGCTCAGGAGTACTTCGGAAAACCGCTGTCACTTAACACAGTCTGCCGCTGGATCAATAAATGCAACTTGAATCTCTGTTACTCTAGGAGAAAGCTATACATCAGTTCTATGCAGTGATGCCGCGGACTTCTCTGGGCCAGAGCTCATCTCAGATAGTCAAAAAGACACTGGAAATGTGTGCTGTGGTCAGATGAGTCCACGTTTCAACTTGCTTCTGGGAAAAATGGACATCGAGTTCTCAGTCCCAAAGACCAAAGGGACCATCCAGACTTTCATCAGTGACAGATGCAAAAGCAAACATCTGTCATGGTATGGGGGTGCAGCAGAGCAAACAGCATGGGTCACTGGCAAATGTGCGAAGGTACCATTGACATGGAAGCATATATTGGAATTGTGCAGACATATATACTGCCATCAAGCTGACGTCTTTCATGGGAAGTCCATGGTTATTAGATCAAGACAATGCCAGGTCTCATTCTGCATGTGCTACAACAGCGTGGTTTTGTAGACACAGAGTGAATGTGCAAGAATGGAGCCTGCAGTCCAGATCTGTCTGGAAATGTATGACCAGTCATGAAAAGGAGAATCAGACTGACGATCACAGACTGCTGAGCATCTGAAGTTTAGTATCAAGTGAGACTGGACAAAAATTTTGCTTGCAAAATTAGTATCATCAATTCCCAAACAATTAAACATTGTAATTAAAAGGAAAGTTGATGTGACACAGTGTTAAACATGCCTCTGTCCCAACTTTTAGGAGTGTGTTGCAGCCATCAAAATCAAAATTTGTTTACATTTACAAAATAAAATTAAGTTTGCCAGTGAAAACATCGGAAATTTTTTCTTTGTACTTCAGTTAATTAAATAAAGGTTAAAGAGAATGAACAAATATCATTCTTGATTTTTTAGCATTTCGTAAAACATGGCATTTATCATACTGATTTTTAAAGTAAATACCATTAAGCTAAAAAAAAAAAACTATTTTAAACCACCCTAGAATAGAGATCATTATGAAAAAAAAATCAGGATTTTTTTTTATGTGGTGTTAAAACATCAGTATTGAATCACTAAATATGAGTAATATAATAAATATGATCTTTAATTTGTTTAGTTATATTGGTGTTTTTACAACTTGCTTTAAAGTCTTGTTGTCTGAAATATAATTTCCTTAAACGTGGATACTCTGTGTTTGCAAATGTGCTCATGCATGTCTCTTAGTCTCTCTCTCTCTCTCGAATTAATGCATGTATCTGATCTTTCTGTCATGGGTTAATGTGTGACTGACTTCTCTGTGTCTTTCAGGGTAATATGGATCAGGAGCGGCTGAAGAAACAGCAGGAATTAGCTGCTGCCACGGCTCTTTACCAGCAACTCCAGCAACAGCAGCTGTTCCAGCTCATCAACAGGTGAGTTCGTTTTGCAGTGTCACTGAGTATGTTTTGTGTATTTAATACTGTTACAAACTTCTGAGGGTTTTTTTTCCATGTAGGTGTGGAGAGCAGGGTATGATGCCTTCGTTAAACAGGTCGATGTCAGTGCCAGATACAGGGTCCATGTGGGACATGCATACCTCAGCCTCACAGCCAGCAGGTACACCCAAAATAACACTTAAAGAATAACTGTTTTTTCCTCACACTCACATCTGAAAATAAATGAAGTTTCTCCCTCTTTTCCTTGAGCAGGCGGTGAGGCCAGTCTATGGGACTTAATGAATTCTTCAACTCAGGGTCCAATTCTAGAACAGCTTCAGAAGGTGAGAGTTGCCTCTGATGGCCTCTGCTGGTGACCTGAGGAAATGCACTGGACTCAGACTCCTGTTCTCATTAGCCGCGTTTCCACTGTTGGGCCAAAAGCGGACGTGCTAGCGCGTGCCAGGGCCAGTCGCGTTTCCACTTTCACTTCCGGGGCTTGATCGTGCCTCGTCGGTGCTTCCTCGGGGCCAAAGGCCCAGGTTTTTTTGGCCCGACGAAAACCTTGGGCCAGAGCGGGCCAACTGGTGCTAGAGGAGTGGTTATGAACAAAGGCGGAGTTTCTCAGCGTCTGGAGTCAGCGCCGCGAATCATTTCATAAAGTTAACAGATAACACCAGCAATAAAGGCTTTTAAAATAATTTTAGTTAAAAACTAACTTTCAGACAGCAGCGAGTGTTTGAAATAACTTGATCCGATGTGGATTATGATCACCATACAAGGCAGAAATATTTATAAGTGATGCAAAAGACTATGCACGCTAGCCATTAACGTTACCATAGTAAACATGGTAAATACGACCACTTGAAGAAATCAGACATCAGTTTCTTATTCTCTATCACAATCGTGTATTTATTTAGTAACATATTTTATCTGTCATAAGTCTCGGCTGGAGATTTTAGCTCCGCGTAGCCTAGGCTATGTCATAAAAATAGAATAATGTTTTTTGTTCGGGAGTATTTTATAAAAAAAATAGAAATGATCATTCTTTCTAAATGTGATGTAGGCTATATACTGTGACTACAAATAAACAGAAACAGACTTGACTGAATAAGTAGGTAGGCTATGTTCATACCGCTTTATTTCTATGTGACTAATTTTCAATCCTGAAAATGAATTAATTATTATCAATGTATCACTTATTATTGTAAAACATCGATGCTTTTGGATTTAAATCTTTAACAAAGCATGCAAACAAACGGCTGCTTTTATCATGTTCGTTTTGTGATCGCACTAGTTCCAGTGACTTATTTCTTATTCGTTTTCTGATAACTTCTCTTTGTTGGTGAAATGATGGGGTTGCGTCGTGACGTTGTTCCTGAGAGGCGTGTAAAGGGCGTGTTTTAGTGAAGCGCAGCGGAGCTTTGACCCGACGGTGGAAACGCAGCGTGATTTTGGCCTTGGTGCTACAGGTCCGAGGCTATTAGCCCTGCCCGGCCCGTTTAAAGCACTGGCTCACACTGGCTCGACATTGGAAAAGCGGCTATTGCATTGCATTGTATTGTGTTTCAGCTACATGAGAGAAGAGAAGCTGAACTCAGGGCCAAGCGTGAGGACGAGGAAAGAAAACGGAGGGATGAAAAAAGGCGAGAAGAGCAGAAAAGGAGAGAGGAGGAGGAGATTTACAGGCGCAAACAGGTATAAGAGCCTGGTGTTAAAATTCTCTTTTTTTACCTTTTTTTTTTATGAATTTGATGCTAATAATCTGCTGAAAAATTCACCTTTGCCAGCATAGGAATAAATCACACACATACACAAATAAATGCAGTTGTTTTTTCTCTCTTACACTCCATCTCTTTTCTCATATCTTGTTTTTTTTTTTTTCCCCAGCAGCAGGATTTGCTGATGAAGTTGCTCCAGCAGACTCCACGTCAGGGTTCCTCAGGCTCCGGGTCGAGCTGGAGCGGAGGACCCATCCCTGGGCTGGGAAAGCAGACCAAGCCCCTCAACCTCCTGGACATCCAGCAGGAGGCTGAAAGAATGCACAAACAACAGCACAGAGTCCAGCAGCAGCAGAGGGTAAGACACACACACATACAAACAGCACTGGTGTGCAGTCCTGAAAATCAAATTATTTAATACATTATAAATGTCTTGCTCTGCAGTGGGGTGATGCCTCTTCGTTATGGGGAGCAGCTGGATCTTTGGATGGAAAGGTGGGTGGAGGTGGCAGCCCTTCTGGAGGAGGGATGGGAGTCTGGGACGAGGCCCTCAAGAACCAGAGTGCACTTCGCAACAACATGGGGCTGAAGAACAGCCGGAGCAGTCCATCACTGAGGTAAACACGAACCACATGCTAACAGCATTTCAATGGCATATATCAAAATCTAGAGCAATTTTCATGGATTGATGTTGATTGATTGATAATTTAATAGTCGCAAATGAGACATAAACACAAAAGTGCTGTAATATACAATTTTTTCACAATATTTACTGAAAGCCAAGAAGGTTCTATAATAGGGATATAAATTGTATATCTGTAGATACAAATATTTGATTATGTCTATAATAGATATTTACATTGTATGCATTTTAGGGATGTAACGATTCACTCAACTCACGATTCGATTCACGATTTTTTATATAATTTATCACGACAAATTATAAATTGTGTCCTTTTATTATTGCTTAGACAAAATACTGTACGTTTCTTTGTGAAATTGAAATATAACGCTATAATAATATACTAATATAGCACTTGCATATTATTGCTCTTTTGTTGGTTTTGATTGCTTTTATTGTCCTCATTTGTAAGTCGCTTTGGATAAAAGTGTCTGCTAAATAACAAAATTTAAATTTAATGTAAATGTAAATAACAAAACTAAATTTAAAATTTAAAACAAGCCCCAAATCAAATAAATAAGTAACACAAATAAAATAAATCTCTTCATATAAACAAACTAAGGCTTTGTCTGTGCTCTTTCCATGTAAAATTAGAGGCAACCACTGCATTTTAATCATGATCCAAACAAAGATGCTGCATACATGCAACATGAGCAGTTTTTAATCTAAATTACATTGTATAATTTCTAAATTTGAAGCAAAAACAGAATGGTTTGACTTCAGTTTTGTGAAACTATACATAAAAATATCTGCATGAAA